GAAAGTGTTTAACTAAATGCTACTTTCCAGGAAAGTTGTGGATGGAACTCGTGCTATGAGCAACTAGATGGCCTCTGCTCTAGGGTTCCTTTTTGTTCTAAATTGCTTGATTCTTTTGATTAGGCTTGAGGGGCAGCAAAATGAGATGATGTCATTCCTGTCCTCAAGACATTCACAATCTAATTGTAGGTAAAAAATTCACAAGTAGAACAGTTACAGAACCAGACAAGACCAAATGTAAGTACAAAATTGTGCAGTGCAGAACTATACATAGAAGAATTTAGAAAAGAGATCACTGAGGGGCATAGTGGTTCAGGAAGGATTCTTAGAGTAGTGGGGCTTAAGCAGTGCCATAAAGGATGTGTGGTCTTTGCCTAGGTAAAGAAGAGGTGGGGGGAACATTGCAGATAGAGGTAGTGAGGCAGCTAGGTGTTAAATAGATAGAGTAGTGGACTTGGAGTCCAGAAGACGGAGTTTAAATGCTGCCGCTGACACTTACTAGCTTTATGATCATGGACAAGTTAACTTCTTTCTGCCTCGGTTTAATCATTTATAAAATGGGGATAAAAATAACACCTCTCAGGATTGTTGTGAAGACTGAATGAGATAATCCATGTAAAACACTTTGCAAACATTCAAATACTATATAAATTCTAGATATCATTATGCACTAAACCCTTTATTTTGACAGACTGACACATTGACTCTTGTATGTGATAGTTTTGTGGCTTTTCCCTGTTGATTTATTTATGTTATAGAAGTCACTGTGTATATTGTTCATTTGGCTGTACTTTCTTTCCTTTGTATGCTGGGCTCTTTCCACTGCACAGTGGTAACTTCTTCCTGGGGTCCTTACGGGAAATAACCTTTCCCTAGGGAGCCAAAGTTGTCATTATGAAAATCAGTTCTTGCCCTGTAATGTCCTCAGAGGCTACTGATATGTGTGTAGGGCTATTTCTGCCTACACTAAATAACCACTCTGCTTTGACTTTCTGTATCTACATTTGATCATTTTTCTGGCCTTCTATAATGAGCTTTCTTGGGCCCAGGCATATATCTTATGGGATTTCACTTCTAGATAAGGCAATCAGGTCCATCTTTGAGGCTGTGCAACCTCATGGGAAATGTAGTCCCTTCCACCAGACCAACCAACCCCCCAGTTATGTTAAATTTCATCTGATTAGATTTATCCAATTGTTCCAAACTGCTATTATATTTTTGGACCTCTGTTCTTGGTAGGTTCTTATCTTCTGAGAACTTGATAGGCATGCTATCTATACATATATTCACTGATGTCATTGATAAAAAAAATGTTGACTAGCTCAGAGCCAAAAATAGATCCCTGGGACATCATACTAGAGAAACCTCCAGGCTGACACTAGGCCTTGCATCTCTCCCTATGCTTTGGGGCCAGATGTCCTACCAGTTCTGAAGCCACTTGATTTACTACCCACCGAGTTGACCTCTCCACTTTGTGCACAAGAATAGCTTGAGAGACTTTGTCAAATTCCTATTCTTATTTTATGCATGAGGACACTGAAAGAAAGGCTGTGATTTGCCTGGTTATACAGCTGGCAGGTGTCAGGGGGCTGGGACTGCAGCCCAATCTTTCTAACATATCCAAGTGCTCTACCACCCACATCACCTCTAGTGAGAAAGTCTCTCTCCATTGTAAGGTCTCAGTTTCTTAACTATGAAATTAAAAGGTTGAACTACATTATCTGTACTTGGCTCTCCGACTCTCAAACTCTAAATTAATGATTGCTTCCTTCAGTGTGCTTCCATTTCTAGAACAAGCACTTAATTCTGTTATTTTAAAGGCCTCCCTGCATATGACTTACTGCTATGCAACATTAAAGAGCTGTGCATTGTGAGATAATTAATTTATTTCATTTTGTTCACAAACTTGTCTAAGCCAAATTAGTGAGGTTACCATATAATAATAACAGCTACATTTATGAGTATAATAACAACTGACATTTATAGAAGGCATCATGATTACAATGCCTTTACACATATTAATTCATAGGATCCTAGAACAATCCTGTGAGGTAGGCAGTAGAGTGGAAAGAACCTTGGCCTTGGAGAAAGAAGCTGTGAGTTTTAGATCCAGATCCAACATCTGCTAGCTATATGACTATAGGCTAGTCACTTTACTTCTCTGTGCCTCACGTTTTCTCATCTATAAAATGTGCATAATAATAATTGGGCACCCTACTTTACAGTAGTGCCTGTAAGGGAAATGCTTTATATATTATAAAGTGTTATAGAAATATGGACTGTTATGAATTGTGGCTTTATAGATTTGCCCACCATCAGAAATAGCAAAATGATTTTGAAGACTTTTAAAAGCTATCATTAGATCAGGTGGTTTTCCTGTGGGCCTAATGGAATCCAAAGGTGGAGTGTTGAGAGAGATGCTCTAATGAGAGGCAGCATAATACAGTACTGTATAAAGAACATCAGATTTGGAGTCAGAGGACATGGATTTGAACCCTGCCTGTGCCATTTAACATCTATGCCATTTAACATCTATGTGATTTTTAATACATTATTTAATGTCTCTTAGCCTGTGTTGGCACCTGTAAAGTCAACTGGTTGGACAGCTTATCCTCCAAGATTCCTTCCATCATCCCTATTTAGCATGGGGGGGCAGGGGGGGGAGAAGTCCATTGCCATTTTAAGTAAATTGCCCAGTATCACAAAACTAAGTTAGTGGCAGAAGAGCGACTAACTATCCTCTCTTGGCTCCCAATGCTAGAAAACTTTTCCCACTGCATGTCACTGTTACTGAGTAGAAATGGACCAAGGCTATACGGTCTATAAGGTCAAAGAGAAAGTGGGCACGAAGCCATCGAACCGTTGGGCGCACTGACAGCTGACAGTTATGTGGGGCTTTAAGGCTGGCCAAATACTGGACATCCGTCGTCTCATCTGATCCTCATACTAGCCCAGGGAGGTGTTATATACACTGCGCTGAGAAAGGGAGTTTGCTCACTAGGAATTTTCTACGCAAATCAAACCACCAGTTTAGACGAGGCAATTGTTACCTCCATTTCACAAATTAAGATACTGAGGCTCTGGGAGGTCTAACTCCTTGCCCATGGCCTTGGAACTACTAAATGTCAACGGCGGGATTCCAACTCAAGGCTTCTCGGACTCTATGTAGTGGGGAGAGAACTTAACTGGGAGGCAGATGATTTGGGTTCAGTCGCCTCCTGCAGCAAGGACCAGAGAGGAGACCTTGGGCAAATCCCTTCCACCCTCTGGGCCTCAGTTTCCTCTCACTTCAGAGAATGATGAACTCTTCAGTCTCTCTCAATGCGCTTGACAGCATTTCAGAAATACCGACCGTGCACCCAGGATCTCTTCCCCTCCAACTGGTCAGTTCTGTATCGTGTTACAGAGTTGTGTTGGGGCACTCACAGGTCAAGTGACTTGGCACTAGGAACAGGACTTGAACCCAGGACCTCTCTGCTCCCAAAGTGGCATTAAGATGCCTCAGGATTAGGTTTCTTTTACAACAGCGGTTCTTAACCTGGGGTCCCTGACTCGGTGATTTTAAACAGGCGATCCCTGCATTTCAATATAATTGGTTTCCTTTGTAATCCCGGGAATCTTCTGCATTTAAAAAGAAGAGCTGGAGAAGGTGGGGGAGGGTCGAGAGGCTTCCGTTCCTCCGTGGTCCAGGACACCCACAAAGGTTAAGAACCCTTTGGGTCAAAAAAAAAACTCGTTGGCCTTTCTAGGGTCTTCCAGGGTGGCAGGGCGCTTTACACGCTCCGACTCGCTTTAAAAAGGGAGTGCCAGAGGTACTAGGGACACACAGCAGGCGCAGAGATGGACCGCAGTGTTGGGAGGCAGGCACTGGAGCCTGAGCAAGAGCAGCAACCTCGGGAACATGTCTCCTCCCCCCTGCCAAGGGTGGGGAGATCGGCCTCCGAGGTGCCACCCCAGGGCACCAGGAGGCGCCCCCGCGGGAGGCCCGGCCGGCGAGGCCACCTCGTTCTGGGGTTGGGCCAGGCGGGGGAAGAGGGGTAGACGCTCGCGTCCAATAGGGTTTACGCGCAAAGCTTCCCCTCCCCCCACCTCCCCAGGCCCTTTTTAGCTTTCTCCAGTCTTAGCTCGGAGCTCCCCCGGGAGTGAGTCGGAGCGGAAGGGTCGGGGGAGGGTGGAGAGGTGTGATGGTGCTGTGTGGCCTGTCAAGGAGTCAGAACTCTTTGCCTCCAGCACTGTAGTTGACTGTATCGGGTGGCGATGCAGCCTTGCACCACCCCGGCCCTACCCCACCGAACTACGGATCCCACAACGCCCTGGGCGCGAAAGGAGGGGTGGGTTGGTGGAGTGGAGAGCGCGGCGTAGGGAGGGAGAAGAAGCGAGGCAGTGACCTCACCCTCCGCCTCCAATTTACCCCCCCATTCCCTCCCTTCTCCGCAACAACTCCCCCTTTCACCCAGTCCTTGCGGCCAGGCGCAAGGCCCGGCGGGAATGGTAGTTCCTCTTTCAGGTAGGCGTAAGGGGAGACAGTCGCCGCGTGGACTCCAAGCCCCGTGGTGCTTTGCGCAGCCGAGAGCAAGTTCGAGGAAGGGGGGGTGTTGGGTGAAGAAGGGAAAAAAGGGAGCGGAGCAAAGAAGGGGAGGAGTAAAGAGCGAGGGGAGGGGGGAGGAGGGAGGAGAGAGCCCACATCCCCTCCCCCTCCCCTCTCCCTTTGCTCTCTCGCACCCCCCCTCCCCCCCGACGTAAACTGGGATCCCTTTCCCCTTGTGTCCGCCATATTGGACTCTTAACTCTGGTCAGCGGCGGTGGCGGCGGTGGCGGGCGGCGAAGGGGACTAAGTTAACTCCCGGTTGGAGCCTGCCGAGCGGCTTCTGCCCGCCCTCCGCCCTTCTCCGCCTGGGAGGCGGCCCCGCGAAGCCGCCCTCCCTCCGCTGGGCCCGGGCCGGCAGCTCTGAAGTGACCTCCCCCCCATTTCCCCTCCGCCCGCCGCCTTTTACCTCAGCCTCCTCCTCCTGCTGCTGCTGCTCCCTCCTTCCTTCCCCTCTGGCCGCCTTCGTCCCTTCTCTTCTCCCACCTCACGGCCTGGCCTCGCGAAGGATGAGTCCGGCCGACGCCAAGCGTGGAGCCAAGCGCCGGAAGAACAAGCGGGGCGGCGGGAGCGGCGGCGGTAACGGCGGCGGCGGCGGCGGCTGCGGAGGCGGCAAGGCCGGCCCGGCCGTGGCCCAGGCGGCGGCGGCCTTGAGGGGCCCCCAGCCCGCCGGCACAGCACCCCCACAGAGCGCTGTGGCGGGCCTGCTCGTGGCCCCAGCCTCGGCCCCGGCCCCAGCCACGGCCACGGCGCCCAACGGGCCCTTGGGCGCTGGGGGCGGTCCCGTAGGAGGCGAGGTAAGCGGCTGCGAGTCGGAGGAGGAAGAGGAAGGGGGTGTGTGGGGCGGTGAGAGGGGACCCCCCGCCCCCCGCGGTGCGGGCTCCCCCGGGATGGGGAGGGGCTGGACCGAGAGGCAAATCGCGGCTGCCCAGCCCCAGCGCTAGACGGGAAAGGGGTGTGTTAGCCGTCGCCCGGGACGCCCCCCAGCCCGAGAGCCTGGAGGGGGCCCCCACCTCCCGCAGTGGAGTGAAAGGAGGGGGCTACTCTAGACGCCCCTCCGGCCCCCAGCCCCAGAGGGGTGTGTTAATTATGCTTCCTCCCCCCAGACTGGAGTGGCAGGCATTGCGGAGACTTGGGGGTGGTGAGGAAGGGGAGGGGGCGTCCCTGCCCCTGTCCCTCATGCCTGGTTGAGAAGCATCAGCCTCTGGAGGCCTAATTCCCCTTTCCCCGCCCCACTCCTTTCTCCTACCTCTCCCTCTCCCCCACCCCCCTTTCCTGGAAGCCCAGGGGTTAGGCCTCCCCGCCCCTCTGAGGGATATAACTGGAACCTGGCTGAAGGCATCATCCTCTGAGGGCAGCAGGTCTTCGTGCGTTACCGAGCAGCCTTTGCCTTTTAAAGGCTGGATCCCTACGAAGTAGGGACAGGTACACTTGGAGAGAGAACACTGATTAATGGGGAGAAGGTGATATCGATGAGGGGTGTGAGAGGATATTGGCTAGGGTTAAAACCCTTTGCTAGATTTTCCTGGTCCAGAGCCACTTAAATCATGTCAAAAATAGGAGGCCACTAAAAAACCCCTGATAGTTGTCAAGAAAGACAACCAAATGGCATTGAGAAATTTTCTGAGGTTGTGAATTGCATCTGAAGTTGTATTTTCTGAAGAGGAAGAGAGTGACAGGTGGGCCTGCAATTGAAAGTTGGATATTAATATATCATTTGATACCTTTGTCTGAAAAAGAATGTCAAAACAGTAGACAGTAGTTAAAGAACTTTCTGACATGATGATCTTTTAGTTCCTTTACTTGTTTTTTACTTTTAAGTTTTATCAAATAATAAAGCTTTTCTAGCTCTCCCGGTTTTAAGACCTTTTCCTGTATCTACACATGCTGATCATAAATAATTCTTGACTTATTTCTGGTACTTGATATAGAAAGCCTCTTACATGCAGCATTCTCCACTCTAGTTACACTTGAGTATATATTATTCTTGAAAGAAGTTTTGGAGTATTCATGTGGCATGGCTCAGCTGTGAATAGTTGCTTTATTTTGAAATGCAAAGTTCCTTAAGATATTCCACATTTTCTTTTTTTTCCATGCACCTGTCATATGTAGTTTGGAAGAGTGCATCTCCTGTTCCCTCCCCTCTCCCAACCCCTCACTGAGTTGGTCATTGTTGAGCAGACTGCCTATCAAAGTACTTCATCCAGAGGTAACAGCTTGGGCTATTCATCCTCTGATTGAAGGATTGCTTTTTAAATTGTTTTTGGTTTGATTGATCGCAGTTATTCGGGCATATGTTCGGTTTTTTAAGTCAGGTATTTGAAGGGAAAATAATTTGTTCATTTGAAAAGAAATTATTTTTTAATGAAAGGTTAGTATACGATGAGTCTGATAATCATTGATTGCTGCCACTTTTATTCTGTTTATCAGTTTACCAGTATTCATAAAACTAATGTGGTCAGCTGTAGAATTGGCATAGTCATGGTAGGTCATTTGCTCGTTCTCTGAAAGACAGGAGAATTTCTTTAACATTAGAATCATTCTTCTAACATTGATATTTTCCTCTTTAAGGAAAAGTGAAAAAATTTACTTAAACACAAACTTTTAGCTGGAGAGGTTGTAAGATCCGACAGACAAGAAATTGTTTTATGTGAGCTAGCAAATGTTGGTAGGAATCGGTCTGGAATGGATGTAGATGGAAATTATTGCAAGTGTACTGTGTAGCATATTCATTAAAGCCAAGCATGATATCTGATACTATAACAGAATCTTAAATTTAAGTGTGCTTATTCTCTTTAATATTTTGGAAGTTTTAAAAATACATTGTAGTAACTGAATTTATTTTGGAGTCTGATGATAAATTGGTTTGGCATGTTAGCTGCTAATGAGCCTCGTTGCCCGGCGTCCTAAACAGAGAAATGTCCTTTGGTTCTTTGGATACATGACACAAGGCAATACTTGTGCACTTGTTTCATTGAGGTTTTTAAGGGCAGTTTTTAGAGTATTTCTAAAGTGCATTGAGGAAGTCTTATTTATTTAGTATGATCTACTAAATAATTGGCCATATTTAACTGTAAAAAAATCTGCCCAAGTATTTGATTATTAAAAAGTAGTATACTTACATAAAAAGTAGTATGCAAATAGCATGCAAATGTTTGAACTTGCGTAGCATTCATTGCAAGTACATAATAAGTTATCAAATATCATTGGGATATTTGGTATTACAGAGCAATAATCTTTTTTCAGTTATTTACTAATTCTAGGCAAATATCTAGAAAAACCAAAATCCTAATGTTTTCAGTAGCTTTTTTTATACTGTCAATGTACAGAATGACATTAAATTTCAAGAATCTTTTAACTACTTTATAAATCTTTAGGTATGTATTTCTCTGGGACAGTGAGGTAGCCCAGTGGATAGTCAGACCTGGAATCAGAAGACCTGAGTTTAAATCTTGCCTCAGACACTAGCTGTGTAACCCTGGGCAGTTCACGTAACCCTGTTTGCCTCAGTTTCCTCATCTGTAAAATGAGCTGGAGAAGGAAATGACAAACTACTGCAGTATCTTTGCCAAGGAAACTCCAGATGGGGTCATGAAATGTCAGACGCCATTCAACAGCAGCATGTGTTTCTCAAAGTGGGCCTCTAATTGCTGTTAACTTTTTGTTTTCCACTTGGGGTATCTTAGAAGATAATGTCTGGAAGAGAAGTATAAATAAAGACTAGAAGGAATATCTTTAATGTTAAGGTGTAGTAAATGTCAGCTTGGGGAATTTATAAATGTAACAGGTGGTTAAGTAGGAAACATGCAGGGAAGAGAAGAAAAAGAAATTTTGATTTTCATAATTGAAGAGTGTGATTCTGTGAAAGAATTTTTGGTATAAGAAAAGTTGGCTGTGCCAAAACATTGTTTTATTGTGCTGTATTTTATTATTTACTTTAAGATTAATATTTGATCTATATTATTACCTCTTTGTAAATAGGGGCTAATGATAGAAAAGAAGATAGTTAAAACACTCAAGGTCATGTTCTCTGAATGGAAGTGTATGTATCGAAAACCTGAGCTAATGAAACTGGTGAGGTGGCTCATCCTTTTAGCCAAAACCAGAATTATGAAGGAATTTCTCAGAACTTGAAAAATTCTTGAGTAAGAAATGCTTCATTAACAGAAACTATTTTACTTAGGTAAATATATCTTAGACTTTTAATTTAAATTGCAGTTCTAATTTAAAGTGTATTTGTCATCTAAGTGCTTAAATCTTTTGTTGCCTGGAGGGGAAAAGTATAAGAAGGAGCTTCTCCTTCTTTACATAATTAAGCCTCTATCTCCTAATGTGTTGAATAGAAGAATATTTAAAATATCAGAATTTTGTTTTCTAAGTAAGGAGGTAAAATCAAATCAAATGCACTATTTACTCAAATAATAGGTTCCTTATTATGGAAACTAGCTGGTTTCAGTAGGTATCAGGATACCAAATCACATATGAGCATTTTGGTATGGACTTAGGGTTATTTTTAATAATTATGCTAAAAGATGAGAAAAGTGAAGTAATTTGAAGTGAGAGTCATTTGTAAATAGATCATGATAAAAGTTTGAATGAAAGGAGAGAAAAAGCAAGACTTAGGGAATCTTTTGTAATTTAGAGTTGCATTCATATTGTTTGAAAGGCAGAGGAGTGAAAATACTAATTTTTAAAAGTCAGTCTAATGTGTATCCTCTGATGATATGATGTGATTAACAGTTAGGATTTTATTATGAATCTATAGGATACATTTGGGTATGCTTTTAGGACTTTGGAGATGGTTCTGGATGGTATCAGTTAAAAGAAGTAAACAGTAGTAAAAAAGTTAAAAGTAGTGGGGGAAAAAAGATCTCGTCATTGACTTCTTCTAGGTGGCCTTATTATAGAGCTGAGTGAACTTGTGTGTTTTAACTAAGATGAATAATTTAATAAGGAAAAATAGACTGAAATTGTTATCCTGTGGGTCCAGATATGGTGTGGCTGCAGAGAACTCTTGAGTGACTCAGTATTTTTAGTGTTCATCCTTACTGCATCTGAGTCCATAACACCATTGACAGTGCATTTTTAGTGGATTGATGTCTAGTGTTTTCATTTCTAATTAAGATACTAGTGTGTACATGAAGTGTGTTCACTTTTGTTTGCGGATTTTGGCTTAAATACTAATTTTTTTATTAGTTTAAGGCATCCCTTTGTTTTTTACAATATTTGTTGTATCATTTATTTAATTGCCTGCTTTTTAGACAGGCAGATTTTTGCAAAATGATATGTTGAATTAAAATACTGTAAAAAAAAATGAATATTCTTTCTTTTTGAAATCTTTGACCAGTGAAAACTGAAATTTAACGATTATGATATTGTAACCCTTACAGCATATCATTGATTTTCATTGTTTTTAATATCGTAACTTAAAATTTTCTAGCTAGTTTATTATGATTCAGATTGTATGAAGACTTTTTTCTCTTAAATCCTGGGTGCCACATTTTAGGAAGGACTTTGACAAGCTCGAGAATGTCCAAAGAATGGCAACTAGGATGGTGAAGGACCTTAAGTTCGTGTCATGTGAGGGTCATTTGAAGGAACTAGAGCCTGAGAAGAGAGAACTTGGGGCACGGGGCGGGATACTGGATAGTTGGGTTCAAGTATTTGAAGACGTGTCATGTGGGAAAAGGATAGAACTTATTCTGGCCCCATAAAATAGAAGTAGAAGTAAGGTTGAAGTTGCAGAATAGTTAGTTTTGATGTCAGGAAAAAGTTCCTAACAGCTAACAGAAAGTGG